TGCGGGGGGATGCTGTTGGGTGCGGGGGGATGCTGTTGGGTGCCGGAGGATGCTGTTGGGTGCGGGGGGATGCTGTTGGGTGCGAGGGGATGCTGTTGGGTGCGGGCAGGAGCGCGGCCCGCCCCGCGCTCCTGCCCCGGGCTGCGGCCGCGGGCGGCGGGGGGCGGTGACGTCACAGAGCCGCTCGCCAGCACAACGTTCCATTGAGCCGAGCGCGTGCTCGGGCGAGCACATGGGCAGCGGGGCCCGCGCGCTCCGCCCGGCCCGGCCCGGCCCGGCCCGGCCCGCCCGACCCCTGCCCGCAGCGGGGCCGCGGTGAGTACCGGGGCCGCAGCGAGGGGACAGGGGGTGCTTATTTGTTTATTTGTTTATTTTTTTATTTGTTTATTTATTTATTTATTCTGCTTTTGCCTTTACTTCGCCCAGCCCCCCCCGGTGTTACCCGAGTCCCCGGCGGGGCGTGCGGGTCGCGGCGCAGTTCGGAGCGCGGGCGCGGGGGCAGCGCGGATGGGGGAGGGGAGGGTGCGTTTCGTGTTATTTATTTATCTTTGTTAAAGCACTGGGTCGCCCGTGGCCTAAAAATACAACTGCACGCCGAGACCCGTGCGGATGGGGAGGAGACGGGCCCGGGCACCGTCCGACGGCGCACACGGCCGCGGCGGGGTCGGCGCGGCTCGGAGCGACCCGCAGCGCTGCGCCCATCCCCCGCAGCTCCCCCACCGCAGGCTGCCGGACCCGGGCAGGGAGCGGGGACGAAGAAATGGGTGCGTCCGGCGGAGAGGGGAGACCCCCGGGGCAGGGAGATGCCGGGGGGTCCCAGCGGTGCGGGGCCGCAGGAGCCCTCTGTAACTGCGCGGAAAATGCGCGCAGCGCGCAGGCCGGGGCGCGGAGCCGGCCTGCTGCCTGTCCTGCTGCCTGTCCTGCTGCCTGCCCTGCTGCCTGCCCTGCTGCCAGTCCTGCTGCCCTCCCTGCTGCATGCCCTGCTGCATGCCCTCTTGCCTGCCCTGCTGCCTGCCCTGCTGCCCTCCCTGCTGCCAGCCCTGCTGCCTGTCCTGCTGCCCTCCCTGCTGTCTGTCCTGCTGCCAGTCCTGCTGCCCTCCCTGCTGCATGCCCTGCTGCCCTCCCTGCTGCATGCCCTGCTGCCCTCCCTGCTGCCTGTCCTGCTGCCTGTCCTGCTGCCTGCCCTGCTGCCAGCCCTGCTGCCTGCCCTGCTGTCCTCCCTGCTGTCTGTCCTGCTGCCAGTCCTGCTGCCCTCCCTGCTGCATGCCCTGCTGCATGCCCTGCTGCCCTCCCTGCTGCATGCCCTGCTGCATGCCCTGTTGCCAGCCCTGCGGCGTCAATTCAGCTTTAACCCGCAGCGCTCTGCCGCTGTGAGTGTGCTCAGCCTGCTCCAGAGCTGGGTACCAGGAGGGCCAGACGAATGGACTGGGAAGGTTCTTTGCATCTTCCACGGACCATTTCTACAAACAATTTTTTAGGCCGTCTTTTCCTCAAAAAGTTGTTTGGGGCTTTGGCATACTTTAATAGGCCTCATTTTATTTTTATACCTAAATGATACTGATGTGTTTCCATTGAGAGGGTACATGGTTTAGGACTTGGATCTCAGTCTGTTAGACTTTTTGTTGCTGCATCTTAAAATATTGTGCAGAGAAATCGCAACAGAACTGAGAATTGAATCTGAGCGATGCTGCAGCCTTCAGCGAGATCTTTGTAATCCCATCCTTGTTGGCAAGTTTAGACATGTTGTCCTGGCCACATATCTGGTCAGACACAGTGAGTCATGAGCTCTACACTAGTTCCGCCTTATCAATATGTTAAAAAACTTGTGTTCTTTAAGTCATTGATTTGGAACAAAAGAGCTTTTCCGAGGGTGTATTAGAATATGTTAGCCATTGCTGAATACAAAGAACACAATTGTGTTACATATGTTACATACGTTACAGCTGCATGAGATGAGAGTGTTTATTTCTTCACTAGAGCAGAAATGCAATCTCACTAATGCCGATTTGCACCAACTGCAGTCCACTAGTGTAGATTATTTTAAGAGTACTTAAATACATAGTTGCACTTTAGAAAGATATTAAAAAATGCAGCTCTGAAGTGTGGATATCACTAATAGATAAGCATGCAGTCTGATACTTAATCATCTGTCATAAACATCCAGTTTCCTTTCAGATGTGATTTTTAAAATTATTTAACAAATGTATTTTCCATGCGCGTGAGGCAGTAAGGTGCTCTTTTGTGCTAGGGACTGCATATCTTGATAAATGTCAGCTTGCAGCCTCGGGGGTTCAAGTCATTTTATATTCACTAAGCATCAGTTTAGGAATGCACCTCTAACTTTATTCTTTCCCCCTCTTCTGTCTCATAGCATTAAGTCAGGAGTATGGCTTACAGCTATTTTAGGATTGTTGTAATTTGGATTGGTCTGACTGTGCCTCTGCATTTTAAGTTATATGAAGGTAATTAGTGGTACAGGTGCAGTGGGAACGCCTCTGTACCTGCTTGGAGTGAAATGCACACGTGTGTCTCGCATCCCTGGGAGAGGGGCTGCGTGCACAGGGGCAGCAGGAGCAGTGCCAGCTCGCTGCCTGGCAGGCCTGCAGGATTTGGCATCGTTCGCATCTCCTCGCTGATGTCCAGCGACGTCAGAGCCGTCTGCAGTCGCAGAAATAAGGAAGGGCTCAGGCCTGCCTCCATCGAAGAGCCTGTCTGTTTGTTGCAGAAAGGAAACGTGTTCAGTTAGTTTGTAAATTGGAATATTGGCTTCCCGGGTGAAAGTGCACGCTTGGACTATGACTTTGGCTAGAGCTGACGGATTTCAGAGGTGATGGTGAGTTGTCTGTCCTGATGGCAGCATGGTTCTGCGGCTCTGTGTTATGCTGTGCCCTTCTCTCTGTGCCCCTGCACAACCAAAGCCCAGCTTTTTGTTTCATTAAGGACTTTTGTGTTCTGAGATTGGATCTTACGCTTAACTCTTTGCAAGATTTGAACCATATCTTCCTGTTTTTAATCAGAATGCTTTACAAAGGCAGCTTATGCTTCCTGGCTGTATATATTTCATTCACCTTTTTTTTTATGAGAAATTGCTGTCAGGGGAAGCTGATGTGGAGCAAGGCTAGGGGAAAGTGTATCTGTACTTTCAGGGTATTGATGCAATCTGTGTTCGTTTAACACCTTTCAGCTGAACGTGTTCAGTGCATTATTACATTCTCTACAGTCCTCTTTCTTCATGATTTTCAGTAATTATGCTGGTGCAGGTCTACTTAGAATTGCAAAGTCATGCTTACAAGTGTGACATCTTCAATAATATTTTTCCCCATCGGTCTATGCAGACAGCAGTGCTGGCAAACCATGGGAAAATGTTTTTTTTGTGACATGGGAAGCATTTCTGCTGCTTGCAGGATTACTAGTGGTTTGTCTTTTGCTCCCAGCAGATGAATTTAAAGAAGTCTGATGTTAGGAACTTGTGGTGCAGTGCACTGCACTGCACTGCAGCTGTGTGTCAAGCAGTTCAGCAGTGCAAATGAGTCCATCAGAGCATCAGTGGAGTCTCTGTGCTGCTTTCAGTGCATCACTGCTCTGATGGAGATGCTGGGATGGTGGGCACAACACCCTGACCTCTCAGTGTTGGCCAGGGTTGGTGTGATGACCTGCTTTGTGAGTCAAGAGGCATGCAGAGCTGCAGATTGAGCTAGCAGAGAAGAAAATGCATCTCTGGTCAGGAAGCTTTTGCCTTTCTGCAACAACGTGATACTGATCTTATTTTGAAGTACAGCGTGTTGTTTTCTGTCTTCTTGATGGCTGGTAGCTTTAGTTCTGATCACCTGCAGGTTCCTGGTGAGATTTACGAAGGGTGAGGAGGGAATAAAAACATAGTCTGTCTCTTGGACTCAGTATCACTGTATCTAGGCATGTTTTCCCTCTGTCACAGATGCATCTGCTCTTGAGATTGTCCATCTTATGTAGCAAAGTGCTCAGTGCCCTGGCAAGCAGAGCTGCTGTGTGCCTGCATATGGCATTACTATACCTGGAGGTGCAGTGCCTGCCATTTGCTCACCTTGTGGGTACAGTTCCATGGAGGACAGCATTTTTTTGAGCTACCAGTGTTGCAGTTAAGGACTGTTCTCAGTTCTCTCTCTCTTTCTCTCTGGCAAGTGCCAGATATTGTTTAAAACAGGGCTCGCTGGTGGTGTTTTTCCCTCTGTTGCTTCAAGGGTTACAGATAAAAGCACTGAGATGGTTACCTGGAGCATCAGCTCTCCTCAGCTGAACACAGCAGCCTGCTGTGACTCAAACACTGGGACTGGCCAGTTATTTGGAGTGGTCTGGATGTGCATGATCTAAAACATCCAGATGTGTATGATCTGAATGCTTTTTAGTGCACGCTCAGATGGTCTCATTCATTATGTGAATTCAAGGTATGGATTGAACATCAGTGTGCAGCTCTGTCCTGCAAATCAGGGTAGGATACCCTGAATACTGGGGATGTACTGGTTGAGTGTCACCCAGGTTTTCCTAGAAGCTTTGTCCCACACCTTCTGATGCCTGTGCTGTAACATCTTCACTGCTATTAGTATCTTATATTTGTCAGCAGTTACTACAATTAAATCTCTAGTCACTTCAAAGGAAGAATGATCCATGAATTCCTGTTGATACAGTGCATCATGCAGAAAGGAGCGGCAGCAGTGACAGGCAGAGCTAGAACCAGTGCCTGGTAAATAATTCACATCTGAATTTATGATGAATTAGAAAATAAAGGCAAGAGTGATTAGCTTCTAGAACAAATTGCCAACAGAAGGGGCAGGCTCTGTCTCTCAGTCATTTTTGCCTTAAAACCTGAGTTGGAAGGAGCAGTAGAAGCAGCTTTGTACAAAAATTACTGGGTAGGTTCCTGCAAATCTGCTAATTATAAAGTTCCTGGATGACAGAGGGGAGGTTTGACCATGCCCCCCACACTATGAGGTTGGGTTGTGCAGCTGTTGGGAGCCCACCTGTGCTGCTGGGCAGTGGGCTGAGCTGAGCTGCAATGTGTGGAGCACACAGACAAGGAAGAGCAGCCCAAAGCCCTGGAAGGACCGTGTATTTGCATGGAAGAGTGTCATGGTACAGCAGAGTGTCTTTAGTATGAGATATTTTGGAAATCAGCCTTTTGTCACCTCTTTTGTTGTCTCAGGCAGGAATACCCAGTGCCAGATCATGTACCTGGTCAAGAGCTGCAGGATTTTGGGAACTTTTGTTGGGTCAGGACTACATCTCTGGGATTGTTATCTATAAGCTGGGGGCTTATCCAGTCACTGGACCTAGCTCCTCTT